GTAACCTCCCCACCCTTTTTTTTTTGGAACCATGAATGAATCTGGTGACATCCTGGCCAATAAATGGGAGTGAGGGTCGGAGGCAAAACTTGTCAGACAAATAACTTGTGTGACCGATTTATCTGGGGAAAGGGGACTTGTTCAAGTGTTGTGCCATGGGGATATTGAGGTGACACCAGGGGTGAAAGTAACTTAAGGGACGCAGGGCTGGGGTCCTGAGCAGGTGTGGGAAGGGGGGTTCCTCAGGTGGAAGGGCCGGGTCCTCGGGCAGAAGGGGCGGGGCCTTTAAATCCACGGGCCCTTTAAATCACTGCTGCTACCCCCAGGGCTCTGGCAGCTTCGGTTGATTTAAAGGGCCCGGGGCTCCGGCTTCGGTAGCGGTGGCCGGGAGCCTCGGGCCCTTTAAATCACCGCCGGAGCCCCATGGTAGCAGTAGCTGCAGTGGAGGCTGGGAGCCCGGGGGCTCTGGTGGTGATTTAAAGGGCCCGGGGCTCCGGCTGGTGCCACCACCACTACCCCAGGGCTCCGGCAGCAGGGCTCTGGCAGTGATTTAAAGGGCCCGGGGCTCTTTTACATTGCCCACCTGGGGAAACTGCCCCCTGCTGGTACGGTCGGCTGTGTGCTGGCTCTTGCCGGTACACCTTACTGGACCATACCACCTTACTTTCACCTCTGGGTGACACACATGCCAACCTGGGTACGTAGATGCTGTGAGTATGTAAGTAGGTGCTTAGGGGCCAGGCCTCTGTATCTGGAGAAGGCTGACCCTGTGGCTAAGGGACTCTGGATATCGGGGTGCAATTTCTCTCTCTGCTGCAGATGCTGGATGACCTTGGTCAAGTCACTTGCTCGCTCCCTGCCTCTGCTCCTCATCTGTACAATGGGGATAACGAGACTTTCCACCCTCCCAAGGGGGGGTTGGACGTTGCTCTGATACTCTGGTGACAGAGTCCATGTAATTAGAGACAGAGTATCTGGCTGTGCTTCGTCTCCCTTTATCCCACAAAGCACCAACCTGAGACAGGCCCTCTGGCTCTAACACGTTCTAGAGCTTGCTGGTTTCAATGTACCTGTCTGGCCACGGGAGGGTCACGGCTCCTGTGTATAAAATGAGCGAGGATCTGGCAGAGGCTCTGCTGAACTCCGATGCCAGTTGGTCTAGCCAGAGGCCGTAGCTTGGGCGTCCTCCAGCTCCTCTCCAAGCCCGGGGTGTGTTGGCAGCTGCCCGGCACATCTGCATGACGAAGCGTCGGGCGCTTCAAAGGGACTTTGTGCAGCGGTTGGTGGAGAGGGGAAGGGGGGGGATCTCGGCATTGCCCGGGGAGTCTGACAGTCTTTTGTGTTTGCTTTGCAGAGCCTGGACGGTGACCAAGCAATTCTCCAGAGGATAAGGAAATATGTGAAAGCCATTCATGTCTCCGGGCTCAGTAAGTTCTGCTCCAGCGGCGGTGGCACGCACTGGTGGGCGAGGGGCGGCGGCGGGGGTGTGACTGCCCTGGAGGGGGAGGTTTCTGACCAGCAGGTGCTTACAGCACTGCCTGCGATCTGACGCCGTGCAGTCACCCTCTGTGATGGGCTAGAAGAACCTCCCCCCACTCTCCCCAGGCAGCTTGCTCTGGCGTTAACACGGGGCTGCCCCTGGTTTGCTCATCGGGGCATTTTTGAGAGCTCAGCTGATGCCAAGCGCTTCCCCGGCGTGCAGGCTGCAGGTTAGGATGTGCAGTTGTCGTATTGCGGCTGCTCCGTGGGGCCCCAGTCATGGCCTGCTGTGCTAGGCTCTGTACAATCACAAATGCAATCAGGCCATCCATTCCTCGAGGCGGCTATCCGGCCTTCGGCAAGGACCTGAACCCGCTGCTGCATGCATCTTCTAACTAGACAGGTGCGTCTATGGTTCTCGTCACGAGTGTCCGAGTACCTAACTGTGCCTGATGAGAGTGCAGGGCTCCTTCCCCTGCAGATGATCGCCTGCTGCGAGATCTGATCTCAGCAGTAATTCCAGAACAGAGAATTATTCAAATCCAGCTGCAATGCTGTACTCCAGGACTCCCAATGGCAGGGGACCGCACAGGCAGGCTACCAGCTGAGTGGAATAGGGTTTCCATTTAATTTGCTCTAAATAGAGGGAGCCCAGTCTAGTAGTTAAAGCAGTAGAATTGTAATCTGGATATCCTGTATTCTGCTTCCCTGCCCTGATGTTGTGTCTGAGACACCCTGGGCAACACGCGTCTACCTGTGCCTCAGTTTCCCTATGTGTAAAATTGGGGGAAATCTCCACCTTGCACAGGGGCATTAAATGATGGCATAAGGCAGACAGGAAATGAGTAGAAGACATGGATTTATTGTCTGTTCTGGGAGTGCCTAGGGAGTATCCAAGATTAGGGCCCTATTGTACTAGGAATGGTACAAACCTAGTTGTAGAACCCAGGTGTCCTGGGCTTCAGCGCTCCATCCTTCCTGAAGGAGGAATGATTCCCATAGCTAATCACCCGTAATAGTTACCATCCAGTGGCACCGGGAGGTGTAATTCTTGGCCAGGCACTGGGCCTGTGAACGGAAGGCCAAGTGGTAGAACTGAGTTGACGGGCCGTTACTCTAACGGAACACGCGCCTGTTCCCACGTGACAGGAGGGGGTAGAATAGAGACACTGATCGGTGATCCTGCGTCCCTTCACGTCTCAATCCCGTCTCCTCCTTTCAAGACTAAAGAATGCCAGCTTTTGCCATCTCTTGTCATGGTGTCTTGAAATGAGAGAGGGCCCTATGCCCAGCTGGCAGGAATGGATTCACCCCAGCTACAGGTCTGGGCCAAAGTCCTTCATCCGTTTCTGCTCTCACAAGTTGTTCTCTTGGCTCTGCATTAAGGTAGTCCCCATGCTGTACACCAGCTGTTCTCTCTTAGCGGGCAGGGGAGGAAATGTTCCGCTGACTCTAAAGCATCTTTAAATATTAAAGGTGCGAGTTCGGCTTTTGAATGCTAAGTGGGCTGGAAAATGCTTTGTAGTGTCTGGTGCTGGGTTCCTGGGCTGGCAGTGTCCGTTGAGCTCGCCCCTGGGCAGCACAGCTGCAAACAGTGGGAGGCTGGGAAATCCGACTTGAATTAAACAGCTTTTGCTTTCAAATAAGTCCCCTGGTTTCCTGGCAGTGAGCAGTGAACGTTGGAGAATCTCGCTGAGCCAAATTCTCCCCCTTCCCCAGAGTTAGCCTGTTCCACAGAGCCCTGGGGTAGCGGGGGAGAACCTCTAGGTCAGGGATTAAAGGGGAGAGTGGGGTGGGTGGGTCATAGGGCAGCTTCAACAGGAGAGATTGAGGGAACCCCAGTGTGACCGGTTCGGTCACAGAGGTCCCCTTGGGACTGTCACCTGACGTGCTGAAATTATCTCTGAGCCCATTTTCCCTGCCAGCTGGGACTCCAGAACCCTGCCTTGTTGAGCCAGACACGCTAGCCTGCTGCAACACAGACCCAGGGTCTGGACCACGCCCCCAAAGCTGCAGACTTTAACTAAAAACAGCTCAGCAGGTTACCTGTCTCCAGCACCCAGACCCCCAGCTCCCAATGGGATCCAAACCCCAGATAAATCCATTTTTCTCTGTATAAAGCTTATACGGGGTAAACTTGTAAATTGTTCGCCCTCTGTATCACTGATAGAGATGCACAGCTGTTGGCTCCCTCAGGTATTAATCACTTACTCTGGGTTTATTAATTAAAAAAGTGATTTTATTAAGTATAAAAAGTAGGATTTAAGTGGTTTCAAGTAATAACAGCCAGAACAAAGTAAGTCACAAAGCAAAATAAAACAAAACACGCAAGCCTAACCCTAATACATTAAGAAACTGATTACAGGTAGTATCTGACCCTCAAAGATGTTCCAATCAGCTTCTTTCACAAACTAGAGGCCTTCCTAGTCTGGGCCCAATCCTTCCCCTGGTGCAGTCTTTGTTAGATCCAGCAGACTTCTCGGGTGGTAAGCAAGGGTTTTCTCATGACTGGCAGCCCCTTTTGTCCTGCTCCACCCCCTTTTATAGCTGTGGCACAAGGCAGGAATCTTTTGTCTGTGCTTGTCCCCACCCCCACCTTATCAATGGAAAAGTACAAGGATTAAGATGGATTCCAGTATCATGTGACATGGTCACATGTCACTGTAAGACCCCTAGTCTCCATTCTTCCAGGGTTGGCCCTCATACACAGGAAGGCTTGCAGGTAAATAAACCGTTTACAACCAATTGTCCTAGTCAATGGGAGCCATCAAGATTCTAAACCACCATTAATGGCCCACACTTTGCATAATTATACTAGGACCTCAGAGTTATACTTCATATTGCTAGCTTCAGATACAAGAATGATACATGCATTCAAATAGGAGAATATATTCAGTAGTTTATAACCTTTATGATGCCTTACAAGAGACCTTTTGCATAAAGCATATTCCAGTTACATCATATTCACACTCATAAGCATATTTCCATAAAACATCTGGAGTGCAACGTCACACCCAGGTCAGACTATCGCATGGTTATGGCGTTCCCCCTAGAGGTGGCAGATCCCACTTCAAATCCCTCCTCCCAGTGGTTGGAGGGGAGGACTTGAATTGGGGGTCTCCCCAGGAGAGTACCCTAACCACTGGGCTACAAGAGAGGTCCTCTCCCAGCCTTGGCTTTCTTGCTGAAACCCCAAGAGAGCTTGTCGCAGAGAATCCAAGCAGAGGGAGGGGCCTGTTTCTAAGAGTGGGGTGGGGCTTAGCACATGCCTTGTGCCTTGGCCCCTCCCACGGGCCATTTTCGACGAGGAGCCAGCTAATGCGCTGGCTTCTACGAATCGCGTTCTGAGATGCCAACTCTCCCCAGCCGTTGTACTGGGAGCCTGGCTCCGCCTTTGTGAATCCAGTGCCTACCCGTTGGGCTCAGCGATGCTCAGTGTCCCCACGCCAAAGCCTCAGTGTGAATCTAGCCCTGGGTGACCTTGGGCACGTTACTTAGATCGAGATTTTTAAAACAAGCGGCTCGTGTCTTTGAACGCCCAACCGGAGACGTCTTAAAAGGGCCTGATGTTCAGTAGGGGCCTCTGAAAACCAGGTGCCTCCAGGTGGGTGACCAAAATCGCCCTTCGCCCTCTTCCCTCGGTTTTCCCCAGGGTGGTGACACGGGTGACGTCCCTCCCAGGAGTGGGGTGAGGGTGGAAAGAGGTTAATGGTTGTAAATCACGGCTGGGGGGTTATTTTAAATTTAAAATAATGTCCTTTAATGTGTACTCTTGGGTACAACATATGTGAAAATCCTACTGAACCCCCCACCCCCTTCCCCATTCTTCTTATTACAACCCCTCAGTCGATGCAACAGGGCAGTTCAGGGGTGGAGGGGGACAGCAGGGAAGCCTGTACAGCTGTCCTGGGACTCCAGTACTTATCTGTATCTAGTTTCCTGCTTTTCTGATCACCTACCTACCTAGATCTCTTCTGTACTTGCAACCCCTGGTGCACCTGTGAAGTACTTGCATCTTCTCCAGTGTGTCCATCCTCATGCCACACCCCGGGAAGACAGGGAAGTGCTGTGACCCCCACCCCCCAATCTCATCTATGGGGAACTCAGGCGCAGGTTAGGGAGGCAAGATTATCAGACACTCCTCAATCCCCAGCTAGTGGGAGCAGCTGCAGAAGCAGCCAATGCAGGCATGAGGACTCTGGTGGTGCCTCCCCTTCCGCCAGCCATGTGTGGGGTGGTGATGGGGAGCTGCCGGGAGGAGCCAGCCAGAGACTCCAGCTGGTGGGAGCAACTGCAGAAGTAGCCAAGCCAGAGCAGGGACCCTCAGACCTTCTGATGTCATTGCTCAGTGACCTCAGACCCTTTGCGATGGCCTTGACTGGACTTTCTCTGCACTGTGACTGGCTGGTTTGCTCCAGCACCTCTCCCCGCCCCCACATCTCTGCACCACAGCTGTGCTCCACACCTGCCCCCTCACCCTCCTCTTCTCCACTGCCCCACCTCCATCTTCCCTTCCCACGTAGCTGACCCCTCTCCTAACTAAATCACCCATTTTAAAAAAAAAACAAACCAACGGTGGTACTAACATGCCATTCACTCCCATCATTGGGTCACTCTGCTCGTGATTTCTACCACGTACCCCCACCTATGTCTGTCTCGTCTCCTTACGGCAAGGACTGTCTACTACTCTGTTTGTACAGCGCCTAGCGCAATGGGACCTCGTGCTTGGGTGGTTTTTGACCGGAACACCCGGTCGAAAAGGGACCCTGGCGGCTCCGGTCAGCACTGCTGACTGGGCCGTTAAAAGTCCCATCGGCGATACTGCAGTGCTAAGGCAGGCTAGTTCCTACCTGTCCTGGCACTGAGCTGTGCCCTGGAAGCAGCCAGCAGGTCCAGCTCCTAGGCAGGGGTGCCATGGGGCTCTGCGCGCTGCCCCCACCCCGAACACTGGCTCCACACTCCCATTGGCTGGTTCCCAGCCAATGGGAGCTGGGGGGGCGGTGCCTGCAGGCGAGAGCGGCGTGTGGAGCCTCCTGGCCCCCCGCCTAGGACCCGGACATGCTGGCCACTTCCGGGGCGCGCACAGCTGCAGTGCGGTGCCAGGACAGGCAGCCTGCCTTAGCCCCGCTGTGCCGCTGACCCAGGTAAGCCTGAGCCCCCGCAACCCAGAGCCCCTTCCTGCACCCCAACCTCCTGCCGCAACCCGCAGCCCCCTTCTGCACTCGGAATCCTGTGGCCCCAACCCTCAGCCTGGAACCCCCCCTGCACCCCAAATCCCTCATCCCCCCCACCCCAGAGCCAGCACCCCCAGTTAGAGCCCTCACTCACTCCCGCACCCCAACCCCCTGCCCCACCCTGGAGCCCACACCCCCAGTTAGAGCTCTCACTCCCTTCCGCATCCCAACCCCCTGCCCCAGCCCAGTGAAAATGAGTGAGGGTGGGGGAGAGCGAGCCATGGAGGGAAGGGGGATGGAGTGAGTGAGGGCGGGGCCGTGGGGAAGGGGCGGGGCTAGGGTGTTCAGTTTTGTGTGACTAGAAAGTTGGCAACCCCAGCACAGACCCAGCACGCGGTCTGATCAGCCACTCTGAGACCTGGCAAACTTGTACCAGTATCCGGGGGGTTGGGTTAGGGCACTGCTTTTAGCTACCTGTTTTGGGGCACCGTCTCACAGCAGTGTTGCAAAATCTACAGTCTTGGCAGGCTTGACAGAAGGCCAAAAGTTTGGGGTGGGGGGAAGAGAAGAAATAAGATGGGGGGGCTAAGAAAAGGACACACTGGATGTGTGTTTGACAAAGTCTCACATCCCAGATGGTGGTTGGGAGTCAGCTGGAGCTGACGATGGTGACTATGTGATCTGGGGGTGTTTCTCTGGCCCGCTGTGGTCAGGACACCTCTCAGATTAGGCTGATGAAGGCCTGGGGTCCCAGAAGATGGAGGGGTGGCGGCCATGATGGTGATGCTCGCTCCAGTAGCCAGTTCTTCTCCCCAAAGTCTTTCTCTAAAGACCTCAAAGGGAGTGTGGGTGGACTAGCCCCTCCCCGTCAATTAAGCCTAATAACCCACAAACCAGTTTTGGCTCATTTAACTTCCAGTCCCATGTTTTGTCATTTGCCAGGTGTGATCTGAACGCAGGCCTTGACTTCTAGCAGGAGGCCTTTTTGTTTGGACTAATTCCATTTTTCTGTCTTGCTTTTGCATCTTTTCCCATCAACACCTGGGGTTGGGCCATTGGAACGTCTCGTGAACTTTCGCTCGCTCTTCACAGTGGCGCTCATAATCCCTAGCTTCTCCCCCCTTTCCCAGTAGGAGGCGCTGTAGAGAACGGCGCATGCGCACTAGCTGCAGGGGGCGCTAGAGAGAAAGGGCGTAGGCGCGTTGGCTGGATCTGGCCATTCACAGCCTCTCCCAGCAGGAGGCGCTGTAGGGAACTGAACAGTATTGCTGTCTGGGGGGGAAACGTCACCGTTGCTCTTTGCCGGCACGAGGAGTCTCTGTAGACCTTTGTCCTGGTTTCACTGGTGTCCTCTCCTTCCGCCCGCAGCACACGTCGAGAACGAGGAGCAGTACAGCGAATCTCTGGAGAACTTCGGCAACAACCACCTGTCCCAGAACAATCACGAGCTTTCCACCGGCTTCCTGAACCTGGCGGTCTTCACCAGAGAAGTGACCGCGCTCTTCAAGAACCTGGTAAGGAGCTGCTGCTCTCAACTCCTGCACCCCCTGTCTTCCACAGACTCCCCGTCTTGGTGACCAGGGAGGAGGTCAGTGACCTTTGGGTTAATCCCTGAAAGCGTAAATGTTGGGGGTGGGGGGATGATGTGAACGTTCCTGAGTTCTGGGGGGGGGGGGTGATCTCTGTCTGGGTCTCGCTCTGTGTCTCAGACCCCCGGCTGCTCTAAAATCATTTTGAAAATGGGCCAGTTTTGTGTGTCTCCCCCATAGAGATCGGACGTGCTCCAACGTCGGTAAAACAGAGGGGGAAAGTGTCTGTCTTGTTTCTCAGCTGGTGGCAAAACCCGACTTCCTCTTGTAACCAACAGCTCTCGCTGCAGGGAGGCCTGCTCCACCTGTGTCAGGTCATGTTAACGTTAAATGTCGTATGCATGAACAGACCTACAGGGATAAGGAGACCTCAGACACGCGTGTGCTTCCCTTGGGGTCTATGTGCACGCATCCTGTTTGTACGAGTACTTGCCTGGGGTGTGAGGGTACCGCTCATGTAGCTACGTGTCCAGGCAGGAACGTTGAGTTCATATCATATATAATACCAGGGTTGGAGGAGACCTCAGGAGGTCATCTAGGCCAATCCCCTGCTCAAAGCAGGACCAAGCCCCAGACAGATTTTTGCCCCAGATCCCTAAATGGCCCCCTCTAGGATTGAACTCACAACTCTGGGTTTAGCAGGCCAATGCTCAAACCACTGAGCTATCCCTCCCCCCCCAGTACAATGATGTGGAGGCAGGTCTATATGCCCAGGGCAAAAGGCGCAAGCACACGCTGCACGGACAATACAGGAGCCGATCTCGGGCTAGCCTGCAGCACGACCTTTCCGGTATCTGAGCATTTGTGACAATAGGGCATGGTTTGGCAGTGCAAATCTCCTCATGAGTTTAGCTTAAGTTGGGCCCAACGCGGTACTGCTGAACCCAGGGAAAGGTAATTAACCAAATGCTTTTCTTGGCCGTTACTGTCGTTTATAAGCTTGAAAGCCATCGTGGTCCAATTCCCTGTCAATCTCGCAGGCATCCTCTCGTGGCCTAGCTGGAGGAAAGTCTCCATAACCCTCCCAGCCAATTCCGGGTTGGGGAAAGATCAAGGACCCCATGGATGCTGTCTCCTCGTCACTCACTTAATCGAGCAGTGTAGAATTTGTTGAATATCCTCTACCCTGGCTGGGACATGGACTCGGGGCAGGAGGAGGCCGATATTTGTTTCACATCAAAAGCATCTATGATCCTGTTTGCCCAGAAGGGAATCGAAACACAGCAAGGCCAGTTGGAAGGAAGGAAGGAGACCAAGGGAGTGGGGACAATTGGTAGAACATCAACTCAGTTAAACAGGGAGGGAGTGGGGAGTCTTAATGCCAAACTGCTTGAGGCCAAATTAAAGTGAAATCTGGTTCCTTCAAGACCTCTCAGTCCCTGCACGGTGGAATCGGTGCTGAGAAGAGACCAGATCCCATGAGGCTTTGGAATAACAAGCCCCCACCCCGAGGAAGTTGGGTCAGTGAGAAATCCGGATGCAAAGCCCTAGGGCTTGCCCGTGGGAAGAGCCTGGTCTCTTGCCCGTGCGCCCTGGTTGAAGTCAGTGCGATTGCATTGGCATAACAGCTCCGGCAGCATTCCCCCTAGATCTGTTAAAGGGAAGATTGAAGCAAAGGCATCCAGTAGCACTGGTAGAAAATGTGGGGGGAAGAGGAGGAGAAAAAGCTTTGTGAAATTTTCCTCGGTTTTGGGTCAACATTTCATTTGGCTGGAAATTCTCCACCCCCTCCTGGTCCTCAGCGGAGCTCTCCTAAGCTGAGATCTGCTAGGAGCTGTCCTGGGAAAGGCGTAGAACTGGTTCCCCCGGTTAGCGGGAGGGATCTGCTGTAGAGCGAGTCTCTCCACTCAAACACAGGCACTCCTCGCTGTTCCTGTGCTGTCACACGCTTCAGGGGTGTGAAATAGACACACAGTGGGACCTTCGTAATTGCTCCCTTCCCCGCTCCCAATGCTTTTCCAGGCATGTGAATCCCTGCAGGCCAGAGAAGCGCGTGTGTGTGTGTGTGTGTGTGTGTGTGTGTGTGTGTGAGACAAGCGAGCACCCAGATAGGGTACGAAGGTTACGTGCTGGCATCTGGATTCCCTTCAAGACGGGAGGATGCTGTTTGCTCCTTGTTGTCCCCTGGGCCTTTCCCAGCTGCGTTCCCCTGTTGTGGCCACGTGGTTGTGTCCTGCTGCTGACCCTGTTGTTTGTCTGCTGCCGGGTGTGGTATAAATGCTTAGACGGGGGGAACGTTGCCTCTCGCCCCTGCAAGAGGGGTGAGCCATTCCCTGGCACCCTACCCCCTACTGCATAGCACTCTGCAGGAAGGCATGACCCCTCCGTGGTACCCTGTGCTGTCAACCGGTGCCAGGAGGGCATTGCTCGTTCCTGCTGGCTTGAGCCAGTGCACTGGGGTGGTCCAGGCCTTCTTGGCACGTGGGTCCCCCGGGGTAGACTGACTGGGCAGGCGTCAGTGCCCTGATGCCAGGAGTCCTGGTCTAATGGTTTTAAAATGGTTCTAATCCCATCATGCCCAGTCGCCCCCCCTTCCTCCCGAGACCTCCCCTGCGGGGAAGCACAAAGCAGGGGAGGTCCCCCGCCCGCCCACAGCTGGGCCGGGATCGGGCAAAGCGCCAGGTGTTTCTGCCTGTGGGGGAGGGGATGCTCTTTAATCTGTTCGTTTACGGGCGGGGAGAGTGCAGCGGACGCGTGGAGACTCGGGCGGGATCCTGCTTCTGCTGGAGTCTATCGCAAACCTTCTCTGACTGCCGCGGAACCGGACTGGCCCCTCTGACAACCGGTCGCTTGGTGAAAGCCGGGTTACGAAACGGGGGTGAGAGCTTGAGAGCCACATACTGGGCGGATGGGGCCATCGACGCACACCCCCCCCCGCCACTTTGCAACGCGGCCCTGAGTCCTGACCCCGAGCGCTGGGCTTCCCTCCTCACCCCGACCCACACAGCTCTGGCCATGCCCCTCACTCCCGACCCGCAGCCCCCCCATTCCAGGCCAGAGTCAAGTGTTCAGGGAGGGGAGGGGGAGCAGTGACTTGAGCCTGTGGAGCAGATTAAAGAGAAAAGTGCTGAAATAGGGTCCTGGGGACCTTCCTGGAAAGCCGGACTACGCCTGGGCTCCAATCCAGGCCTGAGCCTGGGCGAGTGGGGCGGCCCCTGCAGTGATCACTGCAGGTGTGTTCAGAGTTGCCCCCTGCAGTCAGCCCCCCAGAGCCTTGGAGCGCGATGCTTTCAGGCCACGCTCTCTGCGGGAGGGTCGCAGCTCAGGCTCCGGTCCCCGGCTGCGTTCCTTGGCCTGGCTGGGCGTGTGCAGGCTTGTAACTTTCAGCAGCAAATCGTGTTTTCTCAGTGCAACGTATCCCGCTCCTTTCTAGATTCCTGGCAGGGTTTATGTACCTCCACCCCAGTCTCCCTGTAGTATTTCCTCTTCCCCACGTCGTCTTGGAAAGAGACACAGATTCCACGGACTCCGTGAGCCGAGGCCTCTGGGTTTGCTTTAACTTTCTCTTTCTGCCAGTGTTTCCCTCTCCCCCCCATCCAAACCTTGGCCAATGGTCCCCCGCTCCCCTGCCCCGAATCCCACTTCATAATGGGACATAGTGGTTTAGTGGCTAGAGTAGGCAGGGATTGGGCATCCGGACACCCGGGTTCCATTCCGATCTCTGGGAGGGAGAGTGGCGTCATAGTTACCGTGTGGGAAGGCTACTCCGGAGACCTCGGTTCTATTTCCCAGCCCCGCTGCTGACTCTCTACAAACGTTCTCAAGTCATGTTGGCTTTCTGTGCCTCAATTTCCCCCCCTGTACAATATTTGTGTGTCTCCCCGGGTGTTGTGAGGGTTAATTAGCCTTTGTAAAGTGCTAAATGTCAAGGGGGGGAAATCAGTGGTGGCTATCCAAGGGGGGCGGGGGAAATCAGTGGTGGCTATCCCAATGGGCCGGCATCACGTGTTACTCTTTGGTGAGGGTTCAAAAGGCACAGGCATTGGGGCTGTGGGTAAGAACCCCCCCAGTCGTGGGTCAGGGCCCCGTTGTGCTAGGTGCTGTACAAACAGATGGTTCCGGTCCCAAAGAGCTTAAAATCCAGGTTGCGTGAGCATCTCCTAAACACTCAGGAGTTTATCCTCCCCCTTGGAAGTAGGGCAGGATTGTGATCCCTGTTGTATAGATGGGGATCTGAGGCACAGGGCGTTCCAATGGCTTGGCCAAGATCACACACAGTCTGGGCTGGGACCAAAGAATTCACCCCGGATCTCCTGAGTCCGTCCTCCCTCTGCAGCTGAGCTTCCTGGCTGGCAGGCAAAACACAGCACCAAGTGCAGAATGTTTGATGGCCTTTCGTGCCTGCCCCCCATCTCTGAGCTTCTGGAAGTTGCTGTCCTAACCCTCCCATTCCCCCGTCCACACCCCTGGGAAACACCCCATGTGGGACCAGAGCTGTGGCTTCATGTTCCAGCACGGCTATCCCCCCGCTCACATGAGAGATGCTGGTGAAGGATACACGGGAACCCCAGTGATGGTTTCACGCTGCCCCCATTCCCCCTCCTGTCCCCCGAAACTCTCCCGGCTGCAGGGAGCTGGCGTCCCGTCGGAAGCCTGCCCGGAGGGACGTTCCAGGTTCCGTCCGATGCTGGGAAGTGGCTTCTGCAGTGGTGCTGGCAGCTTCTCGCTTTCTTTGCTACAGCGTTTAATTTTGTGCTGATCGCCGCCGCTGGAGAACTGCTTTGATGGTGGCATGGGGGTGGGGGGGCTGCTTGGACTAACCTCCCACTGATGTGGTTTGTGGTAACAGCCCCACATCTTGCAGCCATCCCCGGCTAACCAGCTACATCTGGCACAAAGTGGGCCCTTCCCCTCATCTTAACGGTTAAATCCGTGCCAGCTCTCCAGGTGGCCAGAGCCTGCCTGGCTCTTAACGCTTAGCAGGGATGGGACTTGCTTGACATGTTAGATCCTGACGCTGCAGGGTGCGTCCTGTCCTGGGAGGAGAAGAGGGTTGTTGCACTGTGGTCTGGTAGGGACGGCACTGGATTCAGACTCGGGAGGCCTGGCTCTGCCACTGACCTGCTGTGTGATCTTGGGCGAGCCCCTTTGCTGCTCTGTGCCTCAGTTTCCCCACCTGCTCTTTTGTCGGACCATTTCAATTGTGAGCCGTTTGGGCAGGGACTGTCTGTTTCCCACTAAGTATCTGCGCAACACGAAGCGTAACAAAGCCATGATCTTCATAATGCCGAGAGGCCCCGATTGTAAGACAAATATTTCCTTTAAACCCATTGCTGCTGTGATGCCTCCAAAACCCGGGTCTAAAGTCAGGCTGCTGGTATGCTGTGAGCACTGCTTATTACACTGATGGTAACTTACCAATAGCCGGTGTTTCTTCCTTGTCTGGCTGCTGTATCCCTCTGTTCTCTCTCCTCTTGGACCTGGCTGGTAAGCTCATCAGGGCGGGGACCTTCTTTTCAATATATGTGTTTGGCATTGCTCTAATCTCTGATTGTGGCCTTCAATCACTGCTCTGATGCAAAGAATGAATAGCCCAGAGCAATATTTTCTTGTATTAGTTGCAGGGTTCAGCTGGCCTACGGAACAACCTGCCACAGGGAAGTCATGCCGCCAAAGCCTGGTGGCTATGCTTTTTAAATACAGCCCACGTACTATCTCAACAAGAGGATGTCCTTCCCCAGGTTGAGATGAAGGGAGTATTGTGCAGTGGGTCCACTAATCTCCAGCTACAGATTCACCAGGGAACGTTCGCACTCCAGGACCCATCAGCAGGGGCGGTTCCTCTGTAGTCAGTTGCACACACCAACAGGCCCCTACCTAGCTTGAGTACCAGTTTTGTCTCCCTTGTTTACCAGGGGTCGCACCCTGCCTGGAACTCCAGCGCATGGGGGCACCTAGTGAGTGAATAAGGTACTGCTGGTAAACCAATTGTCACATGGGTGCAGTGACTGGGCAGCCGGTGCAGTTAGGGGCTGAGGGGCCTGCACCAGCCGCTTTGTAACCACTCCTTGTTTCGCTGGGTTTTCCAGGTGCAGAATCTGAACAACATCGTTTCCTTCCCCCTGGAGAGCCTGCTGAAGGGGCAGCTGAAAGATGGCCGGCTGGTAAGATCCCGCTCAGGTGGTGGGCCCTTGATGTGGGAGGCGCAAGATGGCAGGGGGGAGCCCAGGAAGGACGGCTTCCGTCCAGCTGCCGTTTCATGTTGCTGTGTCCTTGTCTGGGGTTGACTCTTGTGTGTCCAATCCCATGCCAGGAGCGGGTCCTTCCGCCTGTGGTAGGTGGCTCCCCTGTGTTTCCTCCTTGGTTGATTGCAGCACCTCTGTGAGGGCCTGCACTGGTTCAGGGGGAGCCCTGCAGGAGATGGGCTCCCCTCCTGAGGGAGACGCCCTGTTGCAGATCTGGGGAGGCAGGAAAGGAAAGGCCCGACCCTCCTTAGCTCCCCGTCGCCATGTTACGACGAGGCATCCACCAGGGTGGGGATATGGCCTGCTCAGAGCAGTCCCCTCCCCTCGGCGCGCCCTGCCTTTCCCCTAACAAAGGGTCAGGGTTCCCATCTCAGCCAAAGCACTTTCCTTCGGCGCTTCGATCACCGCAAGGAGACAGAGCTGCCTAGCAAGTCACGCGGCCCATCGGCCACAGCCAGCCCTGCTGCGGGGCACGCAGTGACCGGACCAAAGAGCAGCTCCTGGACGTGGGATTAGTAATAGTCTCGTGTGGTTTATATGTGCCCGGAGATCCCAGCTGAGAGCCGGGACCGTTGTGCTGGGCGCTGCACAGACACAGAGCGAGAGACCAATGGGGGAAATAGAGCAGACTGGTCCCCGGTTTGGTCGGGGACGCTGAAGCACGGAGCAATTTAAAGCTGGCCAAGGTCACACAGGGAGCCTGCGGCAGAGGCAGGGATTGGATGCTAGTCCAGGGCCTCCCCCACGAGATGATCCTTCCCCCAAAGCAACCTCTTAACTCTCGTCTCTTCTCCTGTCGGGGCCTCTCCCCTGCTGGCAGCTGTTACTGGACTAGAGCCTGTGAAGGGCTGTTGCTCTCTCCTAGTTACAGCTCCTAGCAGGCCCCAGTCTGCTAATACCTGGGGAAGAGGCGACGCGTCTTCCTGTGCCCTGGGAACCTGTCCCCCTCCAACCCGCGCTGTGTCACGACAGGCACGGGGTATCCTGGAGGCCAGTTCTGCACCGGCGTTCTCCGGAGGGCAGCTCAGAGCAGTGGCTGAAGCAGCTGCAGCCCACGGGCGAGTTGCAAACAGCCCCCGGGGTCAGGCAGATCTGGGTGCCGTCATGTCTAGCGTCTTGTACACCTGGGTCAAGGGGGGAGGCCTGGGTGTGCAGAGCCTTCTCCCTGGGGGTGCAGGGAGGGGGAAGAAAGAAGGCTGGCAAAACAGTAACCGCAACTCCCGCCCCCATCCCTGACTCTCTGCTCCCATCTCCTTGGCTCCTTCCCAGCTGCACCCTGAGAGAACCGGCCAAACGGGTCCCTCTGGGCTGGGGACTCCGGCTCTGGGGTCTCCTGCAGCGTGAAAAGCTGGTTGTCCCTCAACAAACCGCTTCTCCCCCGACCCGCCACGTTTTCCCATCCATCCCTGCCTTTGCCTTCCGCTGCTGGCTGGAACTGGCCCGAAGGGCAGAGGCTCGCGTGGGTGTCTCTGCAGGTTCCGTCTCTGCCCTGTGATCTGATTAAAGCATCTCCCTTCGTGTGACCTGGTCTGTACCTGGTGGTGGGGCAGGGCTGGGGACCCCATGATCTTCTCCCTCCCCATCCTTTGGGGAAGGGGGCTAAGAATGCCAGGCAGTCTCTTCTGACACCTGACCGGTGGGGGTGTTGAGCAGAGGAGGTTGTCCCGACCTCTGTCCCCCCTGACCATGGGCTGGAGTGGCCTAGGAGCTGCAGTGCTGCTGGGTCTTGCCTCCACGTCTGTGCTCTGTTGGAGTCAGAAATGTGTGGGGAGCCCAGGACCACAGTGGTAGGGGGCCGGCAGGCCGGGATGGAGGTGAATGGATGAGGCTGTGTGTGATGTTGCACTCCGTAAGCTTTTTAAAAATATGTTTATAAGTGTGAATATGATGTAACTGGAATATGCTTTATGCAAAAGGTCTCTCAGTGGTCAGAGACCTCCTTGGGACTGTCACCTGACGTGCTGAATTTTCCTCTGAGCCCATTTTCCCTGCCATCTTGGGACTCCAGAACCCTGCCTTGTTGAGCCAGACACGCTGGCCTGCTGCAACACAGACCCAGGTCTGGTCCACACCCCTTAAGCTGCAGACTTCAACTAAAAACAGCTCAGCAGGTTACCTGTCTCCAGCACCCAGACCCCCAGCTCCCAATGGGATCCAAACCCCAAATAAATCCATTTTCCTCTGAATAAATCTTATACAGGGTAAACTCATAATTTGTCTGCAAGTATAAAAAGTAGGATTTAAGTGGTTTCAAGTAATAACAGACAGAAGTAAGTTACCAAGCAAAATAAAACAAAACACACAAGTCTAAGCCTAATGCATTAAAACAACAAGGAGTCCGGTGGCACCTTAAAGACTAACAGATTTATTTGTCCATAAGCTTTCATGGGTAAAAAACCCACTTCTTCAGAGGCGACCCCCTGGTACCTAATACATTAAGAAACTGATGACAGGTAATATCTCGCTCTCGAAGATGTTCTAATAAGCTTCTTTCACAGATTAGACTCCTTCCTAGTCTGGGCCCAATCCTTTCCCCTGGTACAGTTCTTGTTAGTTCCAGCAGACATCTTGGGTGAAAAGCAGGGGCTCTCTCATGACTGGGACCCCCTTTGTTCTGTTCCACCCCCTTTTATATCTTTGGCACAAGGCAGGAATCTTTTGTGTCTCTGGGTTTCCACCCCTCCTCCTAAATGGAAAAGCACCAGGTTAAGATGAATTCCCGCATCAGGTGACATGCTCCATTCCTCCAGGGCTGGCCCGTTCACAGGAAGGCCTGCAGGTAAATAAACCATTTCCAACCAATTGTCCTCGTCAATTGGCGCCATCAAGATTCCAAACCACCAGTAATGGCCCACACTTTGGATAAAATTACAGTACGACCTCAGAGTTCTACTTCATATTCCTAGTTTCAGATACAAGAGTGATACGTTCATACCAGTAGGATGCCCACACTCAGTAGATTATAAACTTTGTAATGAGCCCTTACAAGAGACTTTTTGCATAAAGCATATTCCAGTTCTGTCATATTCACACTTATAAACATATTTTTATAAAGCAGATGGACGTGCAACGTCACACTGTGTATAGAGCCTAACCGAAGAATAGCAAAAGATGCTCCAGTGCTGTCCAGCCCTGCTCTGCATTGGCGGGAGCGGGAGGGAGGGAGCCCTGCTCTGTGCCATGTAGAATCGGTCCCTGACTTCGCTAACTGCTGCTCTCTCTGTGTCGCAGGATTACAAGAAGCAGATTGAGAAGGCCTGGAAGGATTATGAGACCAAAGTGTAAGTAGTCCCGTTGCCTCTGGCAGGAACAGGCTGATCCTCCTCCTCTAAACAAAGGGGTTTTGTGTGGGGGCTGCAGCTTGGGAGGTGGCTGGAGCCTGGCAGCGAATGAAGTCGCTGGCTGGAAATTAGTGCACTCCCGACCGGCCGGGCTCCAGCGTAAATCGCTGGTTAATGCCATCTGGGTGTTCAGCACGGAAAGGAGATTGGGGCAGGAGTGCTGGCTTGGGGGAATCTCCCAGCTCCTCCCAGCAGGAGGCGCCGTGGAGAATGATCCTGCATCTTGTGGTCCCTTCTAACCCCATGGTTCTATGATGGGGCTGCATGGACAGGTGCGGGAGAGTTGGCTGGGGGGGGAAGCTCTGAGTTCTGCCTCTCCCAGTGGGTGCCTCTCCCGATTGGGTCTTGCCAACAAGAACTACGGAGTAATTCAAGCGGACAGGAGGTCGGATCGGTCTTGACTCTTGCCGTCCTGCCTCCCCAGAGCAAAGATCGAAAAGGAGAAGGAGCGAGCCCGGATAGCGGGACTCATCCAGGCGGAGCCGTCGCCAGCGGAGATCGCCGAGGAGACGCAGAAGGAGCGCCGGATGTTCCAGCTTCAGATGTGCGAGGTGATGGGCCTTTCCATGCTGGAGAATGGAGCTGAGGAGGGCGGTAGGGTCTGGAGCAACCGTGGGGTCTTTTCTCTGGAGAAGCTGTACCAAGGCGCTCTACCCTCCTGGGGTCCCCATGGTATCTGATCCCTTCGCGGACGGTGATGAACGTCACGGCCTTGTCAGGAAGGGAAGGATTAATTCAGGTGGGGAGTTGAGGTGCGCAGAGAGACTTGCCCAGGGTCTCACTCAGGGAGTCTGTGACAGAGCCAGGAATGGAACCCAGCCTTCCTGAGTCCCAGTCCAGTGCCTTAACCACTGGGCCATCCTTGCTCGGCTCTAGCCAGGGCACTTTCTGCTGGAAGAACCTAGTGATCTGTAGAAAACAATCAAAGCGGATGAAGGAGTAAATGGGCCGTCGGTTACCCTACCCAACGGCCATCATTGCTCAGATACTTCAGGGCTGGGTGGTAGAGAATTATGCCAAGGGATCACCTCCTGCCCTTCGGGGTGTGTGGGGCAAGGAGGGCTTAAGCCCAGGTCTCTCTGAGAACCAGGATCCCCTTTGTCTGCAAAGTCTGCAACAGCCGCTCCACCCCGCAGCGCGCTGCTAGCCTGCGCCTCTCAATCTGCCTCCTGTCTGCCACCCTCGCTAGGCCTTGTGCCCGCCCTGCCTTGCCTGTAGCCAGCCCACTGGCTATAATTCGTGTCCCTCCCCTGGGTCCCAGCCATGGGGACCTGGCAGCAGGGGGCGCTAGGAAAACAGGCCGGGGGCATGAACGGGCAGGTTCTCATCTCGCCCTCCTCCCAACCATCAGCCCTGCTGCTGGGGCCTCCCTCCCCCCCTACCTCCACTCCCTTGGCCTAAGTGCTGGAGCATCCCACCCTGGCCACAGGTTAGGGAGCCTCACGGCTTCCCGTCTGAGGATGGAGCCCCTGGGCCCTGGCCTGCCCTTCCCAGTGGAATGCTGCTCTCAGCCCGAGCAGGGTCGGGATCAGCAGGTGCTGGGGAGGTTTGGGGGGGATTGAGGGGAGAAACAGGGTGGGATATTGCCCATAGCTGGGCCTTACTCAATCT